GCACGGGGCAAGCACTATGGGCAGTCTATCTGAAGTGTACCTGGCGTATAAGACGACCCCCCACTTGGAGGCATATTTTTCAGCGCCAAAAAATCGTCTTATACACCGGCAAATACGGTAATTGAATAACAGAAACATAATGGAAAGATATGGAGAGAAACAGAACAGCATCAATTATACAAGGTTTAAAAAAAAACAACCTTTCAGAACTTTTATAAAGAAACATCTCTAATCCCATGTTTCCCAAGAATAAGTACAATCTCTATTCCATCATCTTTTAATTTTGTAAATAATAAGCTTTTTCTAATGAGTGAGCTTCATATATGAAACTACCATATTTTATTAATACCTTAATATCAAGCTAGAAAATATAACCAAACACTGAAAATTAGAGGACTTTTACAAAGTATAACATAATTCTAGATCCATCAGGAGAGTTTATTAAAATGTCAAAGTGGCCTACATTGTGCTGTCTCATCGCCCTCAGGAAAATGAGGTCACTGGGCTTGGTCACACCCTGACCAGTACAAGAAAAGTCCACACAGCAGGTTCAAAGTAACAGGCACAGGTTAGCACCGCCAAGTTCTACCAGAGGCAGAAACAGACTGGCAATCATTGGGGAAGCCGTTTCTATGTGTATTCCTGCTGTTCCTAAAACAGTGTGAATAATATAACTTACCTTAAAAGAAGGGAACGGAATTTAACAAGAAAGGTACATTTAGAAATTCTGTTTTACAATATCTGGAGGCTGGCCCTACTAAATTAATTTTTTTTAAGTTTATTTTATTGTGGTAAGAACACCTAACATGAAATCTACCCTCTTCACAAAATTTTAAGCATACAACAAATTAACTTCTGATCAGAATAAAAGATATTACTTTGACACCTATCAGATACTCGTATGAATAACATTAAAACATAACTTTGCAATTTGTTCAATTTTGTGTCTATAACAGATATTAGCCAGGCTTTGGCAAAAATATCTTACTAATTTCCCACTAAAATCATACATATGGAAAATTACTATATACCATTTTATTTGTGAACACTTTAAGAATATGTAAGTACAGAGCTTATGGTGCTACCAAGTTTCTGAAATCTGATTTTATTTCTGTGCTACCCTAAATGATGATAGGAGATGAACACAGTGATTAAGAGGATGGACTTTGAAATCAGACTCTGAGTTATTTTGGGAAAAGCTAAGTTATTTCAGCTTATTTTTGCTTCAACTGTTTTCTCATTAATAAAATGAGAATAATAGCACCTGCTTCATGTGGTTGTTGTAGGATTAAATGAGATAATAGAGTAAAAAAATTTAGCAATGCCTTATGTACACAGTAAGCAAATGTTAGCTATTATCATTAAAATGTAAAAAACATATGAAAAGTAGTCATCCTTTATCAATTAAAGACATTAAAGCATTTAAAAAACTATTTAAGGCTTTCATTAGCATAATTAAGATTAACATTCTGATAAAACAGGGAAAGGTGCTCAACCAAGCAAAAACTTACTTTATGGCTGCATAATAAAATGTTCCAAACCAAACACCAGAAGTTATTAGATGAACTGGAATCAAAACTTTTCCATATTGTCTAAATGTTTTCTTAAACCGTTGATACAGATTAATAGATTTATCTTGTAAAGGATCAGGTTCTTCTTTTTTTTCCGAAGGAGTTCCTGGAGATGTGGTATTGGATGATGTAACCCTCTTGGACAAAACATCTTGCTTCCACTGTTTATGGTGAAGGACTCCCGGTTGCGGTGAATAAGGATCAAATGACTTCCTTTCCTTTGCAGCACACTGGGCAGCACTTAAGTGCAGCCACTGTTTTTGAGGGTCCTGTACCAAAACTACCCTGGATTCGGCTTTATAAAAAAGTAAAGGTCCCTTTATATTTTGACAGTGTCCAAAAAGACCAGCATGTTGTTCCATGCATGTCCTATGTGCCAGTCGGAATACAGTCCTTGGTACATTCCATTGCATTTTGAAGAATGATGATTGATAGATTTCAGCTTCTACAGAGATTAGATTAAAAATATTAGATTATACAGATTTCCATTTTAAACCAATCCACTTAAAAATAAATCATTAACTGTTAGGAAGTAAAAGATAGACACTGATACCAAATCCACAAAATTAGTATTAAGATATACAGTTCTAATGTAATACAATTTTGAAATCTCATTAAAACACATCATTTAAGTATGATTAAGTAGAAGAGTCCAGCAGACATCATGTAGGGTAATGTTTTGAGGCTGTTTTATTACTACAAAAGGGATATTTATAGGGCACTCTGTTATTTTACAAAGAAGGGATGTGATATAACAGAAAAGTCATAAGATCTGGAAGCAAAAGACCTGGGCTCAAATGTTTTGGAAACATAAATCCATGCAATTCCCTTTTAGACACCAAGTCCAAATCCACTAGTAAAACGAGGATTACCTCACAGGGTTATTACAGGAATTATATAAAATTTCTGATGTAAAAGTCTTTTGTAAACTAACAAGCATCACATAAGTGTTATTACAAATGTTACAGTCTGATGAATAGTTGATATCAGTATCACTTATCCTTAATGCCTTTAGACTAAATTATACAAAACTGTAAATCACATGTTATTGGCTGGTGAGAAGATAGACGGACTTTTCCAGATATCTAAAACTTTTTGGACAGTTTTATTGCTATTTTAAAAGACAGTTATAATGTAATTTAAAAAGAACATGGACTTTGAAATGAGATGGACCCAACTGAGGTAATAATAGTGGTATTATTCTGAGCAAATTATTTGGCCTCTCTAGACATAGGTTTGCCCACTGGTAAAATACAATTATAGTATGCATTACTATATATCAAATCAGTTCCTTCTCTCAACATCAGGCAGTGCCACCTGATCCCAATCTCCACCCCACCCCACAACTTACTACTTCTTATTCATTGAGAATAGATAACCTTATTTTTTTGTATAAGAGTCAACAAGATTTGAGTTAGCACCCCAGTAAATTAGCACTCCAATTAAATACAGCTACTCCATTTTACATGAATATTTGTTATCTGGGTACAAAGTTGACTGTAATCATATAAAAACATCCACTAATCATCTGTCCCCCCATAAAATTAATTCCCTGGCTCATCCCTCCCTTTTTAATAGTTAACATTAGCTCCTATCAGGCTCTCACAGATAATGCAACCACACAATGCAAAAATGAGCTCAGAAATGTAACTGCAAATCTCTCCAAACAGGCTCCCAGGAAGCCTTTAAAAGTGATGCTGGAGGGGCCGGCCAAGTGGCGCGATGGTTAAGAGCTGGCTTGGGATGCCAGAGGGCCCCGGTTCGGATCCCACATATGAGGGCCAGTGACACTGCCCTCCACAGCTAAGAT